GCGGATAGGAGAGTTTGACTTCCCTCGAGGAGCGATTTTTGCATTTTTTAGTTTCGCTGTTCCCGCTTCCATTTGTGGCTGCGCTTGAACATAACTCGGACATTTTTCAATCATGGGCATATACTGAGTAGCTATACCCCAAAAGTCAGTGCTATTCAACTATTTCAATTTTCATTTGAACAAGATTGTAGCTGAACGTTGGTCTTCATAGACTAGACAGTGGATCTGATGGCGATTATAGTAACTTTTGGTATGGTGTCAATTATAGCCAATTTGGGGCCACATCTTCTTTCCACTGAGTATTATGTATACCCATATAGCGAGCGTTCAGCGCTATTCTGGCGCCAAATTGCGTGGACGCCATGAATAGGTGTTATATTTGTGAACAGGGCCACTGATTACCTACAAACGAATTTTCAGTCAGAACAATTGTTTTGACCTTCTTGGGTTTGCTTATTGGGTTGTCCGGGGTCCGTAGCGTCATGGATACGTCATCTCTGTTACGAAGATGTGAGACTCTGCTCACACTGCCGACCAAATGGTCAGTACATGTTCAATGGTTGGTCACCTACAACCCGAAATGTCAATGAAATTTTTTGCTCAAAGTTTGCTCCCAGGGGTAATCGATAGTTTTATTTTTGGCGCCAGTGCCATCTGGCACCAGCATAGCGCCGAAAAGCTCAGTCTGTGAATACTAACAAATTCGAAAGAAAAAGCAGTTTTGCTTCATAAAAATAGGATTGTTCACTTTATCGTGAATGTTTTCGTTGGGACAAAGCATTTAGACAAACATGGACCCAAAGAACGAAATATTGAAGAAAAGCAAAATTCTGTCCTCGGAAGGAAACGAACCGACCTATTTTTTACGTTTTTTTTATTCCTAGAAGCGCGCAGAGAAAATGAACTTCGTATATGCCCCTACAATATGCACAAAACCATTTTTAAAAAGCTCGCTTTCGACCACCCTTGTAAGACTTCAAGATGACGCACGTCGACGCGCGCGACACGCTGTAATGCGCTGCCGTTGCAGGAGCGTCTAAACGACATAGACGCGAACACAGTCACAAACGAGACCGCATGATTAGGCTACGCCTACCCTCCCATTTCTCACACTCTCTCAAAACACACGCTGCCAGCTCCGACGGATTCCGTCAGCGGCTGCGTCCGTATCTTGACCATGGCAGCGCTGATGCAATGGTAGCATGTCGACGCGGGCATCGCGAAGACTGAGCGCTGCCTAACAAGAGCGTGTAGGCGGAAGGAGTGCCTACGTTTCAACGACTTTTTCTTTCTTCCAGTCTAGAATGAACAATGACTGAATGCCGCAGGAGCGTGCAGCAATGTAAGGGTAGCGCACGCACGGTATATTTAGTGAATTCACAAGCTCAGTCGACCGATAACCAAGAAGATGATCATCGTTGATCTCACAAGGAGCCCGCCACCGTAGAGTGATTGCAGCGCGAGATGATCACATGTTTTTAACAACGGGCATCGCGGCGAACCAAGATTTTCAGAGGTCAAACAAAGACACTAAGGGTACGGTTACTGCCCCCCCCCCTGTTCTCTGGGGAGTCGCAGGTATTAATCCTGAACAGACAAGGTCTTTTATGGACCAAATAAAATTGTCACTTTCTGGAAGTATTAGGCTACTAGAGTAAGCTCACCACTGTTGCTGTTTGTTTGACCTC